GATCATGTAACACGAATGGGACTTGGTTCCATGATGTGATTTCGTTGTATGTACATTTATTGTTTCAATGAAACTCTTATTCAGTTTGATGTTTTCTCATATGGTTTTGTGCACAATTGTTTATTCATTCATTTATTTTGAGAAACATCATTAAAGTTTGGACCTTGAATAAACATAGGGTTTATTCATTAAGCTATATGGGATTGAGAGACATAATGCATTGTAATACATGGAAGATAATACTCGCTTTTAGAGGACCTGTCGCCATGATTCATGCATTTTTGTTTCTTGAAAGTGAGAATTGATGGGTTTTCGATATCATATCGAGTGAAATGTATGGACCAAGTGATAGAATGTAAACCTTTGGTATTTTTAAATGGTCCAATCATCTTCCTCTTTTATTGGAAGTTATTCACCTTCTCATAACTGTCCATCTTCCCTACTTTGTGGTAACCATTCACGTTTCGTAACTTCTTTGACGGGAAGAAGTATATAAAGGGAATAAAGTGGTATTGGTCCCCAAGCCGAGACTTTCATGAAACTACACCATCGCAGAGAGGTCTTGAAGGCTTGGAAGCACCAAACACAATTCGAAATTCTGCAGTTCAAACGACAATGGCTGGAGGTTAGTTTATGATCTTCAGTTTCCGCATTTGATCTATATGTTGTTGTTTATTCACATGATAGATCGTGATAAAGCCATAACAGGGTAATATTTTGATGACTGATAACAAAATCTCTGAAGAAGCTATTATTTTCGTAAAAACGAATTTCTATACCTTTTATGTATCTAAATATTTTTTATTTAGTTCAGGAACCAACGGATGACCCAGTTGATTCAGATGTAAGCATTCATGCTTTTAAAACTATTTTTAATGTGTCTTTTTAAGTTATGATCCAAATTTGAGGGCTTCTTCTACAGGCTCAGGATGGTGATGATGATGCCAATGATGCAGGAGGCGATGACGCTGATGATGACATCAACTCGGATGCAATGGAAGATGATGATGTACGTATATGGGTGTTTCCTTTGCTGCTGGTTTTACCAAAATGCTTTGCATTGTGAGTCGATGCTTTTCTTACTTCATTTTCTTTTTCTATGCTTATTATGCAGTATGAACTGTAGGAAGCATAGAGAATACACACAAAAGATTATCCATATGCGTGTATGATCTGCATTACAGATTATTATATGTTGATCTTTTTCCTTCTACTTATGTATGTTAGAGTACAAGAAGAAAATTGATACATGCAAGCAGAAAGCGACTGCTGCCAAATCCGAAACTGCTGCTGATGAAAAACTAGGTTTGTTGCAGAAAGAGTTGAAAGAGGAGCAAAAGGAAGAACATATGCTAAAGGATGCGCTTGGATTAGTATCTATTCAATTTAAGTTGCATCGTATTGATTCTTGATTTAATGCCAATAGCTTGATTAACAATTCTGTATTATGATTTACACAGTCATTGTCAGTGATATTGATGATTTGGAGCATCAAAGGGATTCTATCGAAGAGCGAAGGAAAAACTTAAAAAAACTTGAACAAAAAGAGAATTTTTTCTAAGAAACCTATTTGAGAAAAGATTTCTTTTGGTTCAATTGCAAGTTTGGTCTTGCAAATTTGAGCAAGTTTTTTATTTGAAATCATAATTTCTTTTGAGAAATTTCCTTGTAATTCAATCTGCTTACAGATCTCAGATCTCATCAGTTTGTTCAATTTGTTCATTATTATAGTTTTCTTCTTCCATAATTAATATAATGTAGAATAAAATTTCTAACACTATATTTGTATTTTTGTAAAGCATCAATTTCATTTAATTTTGCTTTAATAATTTTGTTTCTTGGTTTATTTGTTTGTAACAAATAATTGTAATTATCTTTATGAAGAGTGCAGTAAGTCTAACGCGAAAACCTTTAACTTTTGCATTTATGCAATTATTATGACATCTTCTTTTCCCCCCCTGGATACATAGTTGTGTACCAAATTTGCTTCCAATTGTTTCAGGAAACTCGTGGCTGCGTTGAGGTTCCGGAATCACTAAATGGTGGTGAAATGTTTAAACTTCACATCTTTAATGCCTATTTTTGCTCTATTTATGCGTATTCATTTGTGCTTAGCTTTGTTTTCTTGATTTGATTTGTGGGTTATTCTTGTTTGGTGCTTGGGGGTAGTAATAAATTAGTGGTGGTGGAATATTTATAGTCTACATCCCCTCCTTGATGTGTTTATTTTTTGTTCTATTATTGTGTGTTCATTTTATTTGAGCTTTCTTTTCTTTTTAATTTTTGTAAGAGTTTATATGTGCTCATTTAAAGTTCTTATCCAGGTGCATCTGCCACTAAATATTATGGCAATTGGTCAATTTTTTTGATGAACTACACAGGCATTATTTTACAATCACAAGCAACTATCTATTTAGCGGATGCTTGATTTTGATTTCCTTTATTGTAAGTATGAGAGTAACATCTCATGCTCTTATTTATATTATTGAAAATGAGTTATGCTGTAACTGAAAGCTATTTCAATGAATGCTATTGACAAGTCTATCTGCATGCTTTGTGTCAAAGCCATGAATACATTACAACGGTAAAAAATAAGAACTTCAAGAAGATGTCAAATAGGTAAAAAAACAACAAACTTTGTATAAGCTATATATATATATATATATAATGAATTTAATGTATTGCTTCTTAATATGTGTTAACCAATTGTTTGTTTGTTGATATCGTTAGTTCTTCTCTCAATACTTTATTCTTTATAAACAAGATGTTCTTTTTTTTTTTCTTTTTTTTTAAAACCAACTTCGAAATGTTTTTCATATTTGCAAATGAATTTCTCAAAAATTTACAAATACTTATTTCTAACATTTATTAATCAACTAACGTGCAACACACGTTCACCCCACTAGTGGTTGAAAAAATCCCGACACAATCATATTTCACTATATTGTGTATATGTAAACTATTATATAAATCATTATGTACATGTAACACACCTACAAAATTATAGTCAAAATCATTAATTGCAATACTGTTAAGTCCTAATTTTGAGGGTAGATTTAGTTCCTATTTGGTGGGAATTAAATTAGATTTTAATAAATATTGATGAAATGTGTAATTGAAATATCATGGATACCATAAAATAGCATTGTTTTGAAAATCGGATTGGACCGGTTTTTTCATCTAGAAGACCCAGGAATCAATCTCAAATTTGATTTGGTCCTAATATATTAACCGAAAATGAAAAAATCGGTAACTAACCTGTTGAATTGGCCATTTTAACCGAAAAATCGAAAAATTAGTCACGATTTTTAGCGGTTAACAAGGGTTTTTTCTGAAATTTTTTTTTTACCTTGATAAATGGGCTGAAGCGTTGGCAAGCCTAATTTTACCTTCCTTCCAATCCAAGTGTTGTTTTCAAAAGAAAAGATTCATATAAAGTTTTCCTCAACTTGCGAAGTGGGATAAGTTGTGTAACTTTTTGCAATTTTTATATTTAATAATTGTTCACTTGCTTCTTTCTATTAAACAAATTTTTGGCCCCAAAGCATAAATAATCTCAATTTGAACAAAGAAAATTATTTTAAACATATTAATTGTTAGTTTTTGATGTTTTAAAATAGATTATAGGATAATAAATCTAATTGACAAATATTGATTTATATTTACTTTGCAGTAATACTAAAATTTAAAAAATGTTGTTGTTATAGTTTGTTGGAGTATTTATTTATTTAATTTTGATATATGGTTCGATCTTGGCTCAATTTCGGTTTGACCGTTTGACCCTTTTCCTTTTTCGAGTCGATGTTTGGATTGATTTTTTAAAATATTGTAAAATAAAAATAAAAATAATTGTGGACTTTAATTTACATTTTTTAAAGAATGTATACTTATTTTTCAACAAAATTATTTTATTCATATATAATTGTTAATAAATTTAAGGGAAAATTACAACAGAAGCTCCAAAACTTTGAAACATTAGCAGAATTATTCCAAACCTTTGATTTATTGCAACTGTCACCCCTAACATTTCTAGACGTTGCAGGTGAAGTCCTTTTGGATGGTTTCTATCCACAATTTCATTAGTTGACAAAAAAATTAACTTTGACCACATTTTTAATATTTTAAAAAGAGGTAAAAGAGTAAATTTTCATTTATCACATTATATAATAATTAAATTAAAAAATGAGAGATAAAAAAACAAAACCCCTGTCTTCTTCACCCCACCCCACAACTCAAATCCAAAATCAACATCGCCATCGCCACCGTCACCTTCACCTCCATATCACTCTAAAAAGGCACAAATAGGCTTGTGCTTAAGTTTGCCTATAGCCCAAGAATGAATAAATCATATTTCCCTTTATATAAACTCAAAAAATTGTTGATACTTCAACTGAGAAATCAGTGGCAACCATGCCTCAACCAGTGTGTGTACAATAAAGTTTCATTTCTGTTAAGACGTAAATTTTTTATTCTACCAATAAAAGAAATGCTTGATTGAGCTCTAATTTTTTATAAAATCAAAGTTCATAGAAATGGTAGTGACGGCCGAAGGATCCATTGCTGTTTCAAGCTTTCCATCTTCTTCATTCACCCATAAATCCATTCCATGCTCTAACTTCCACGAGTATTCACAACTAATTTTGCATAAATGCACATGTAAAAATAGGCTGAATTTAACCACCGCCACCTCTGTATCACTCTACAAAGGGCCTAAGCCTAGATTTATACGTACAGTTCTTCTATTTGTATAAATCTGAATCTCCCTTTCTATATACTCACTCAAGACCTCACTGATGAGCTCATCCTTGTTGATGCCAAACCCAAAAAGCTCCACGATGAAATGCTTGACCTCCAGCACGCCGCTGCCTTCCTCCCACTCCCAAAAATTCAAGCTTCCCTTGACCACTCCATAACTTCTGGATCCGACCTCTATATCATCACAGTCAGTGTTCAGCAGAATCCCGACGAGACCAAGCTGAATCTTCTTGAGAGAAGCTTGACTTTGTTTAGAAACATTGTGCCTCCGTTGATTAAATGCTCTCCCTGACTATATACTCTTGATTGTGGCGGTGGTAGTGTGGATTTTGAATTTGAATTGGGAGTGGGGTGAGAGGAAGAAGATAGGGGTTGTATTTTTTTATTTATCATTTTTTAATTTAATTATTATATAATGTGATAAATGAAAATTTACTTTTTTACCTCTTTTTAAAATATTAAAAATGTGGTCAAAATTAAATTTTTGGTCAACTAATAAAATTGTGAATGGAAACCGTCTAAAAGGTTTCACTTGTAACATTTGAAAATGTTATGGGTGATGGCTACAACAAATCAAAGATTTGGGAAAAGTGTGCTAATATTTCAATGGAAGGTTCTGCAGCAATTTTCCCTAAATTAAAAAAATAAAAATAAAATCAATTTCTACTAATGAGACAAAGAGGGGTAAATGATGTCTATTCTTCCACGTTCACTCCTCGACATCGCCACCTAACAGTCTAACATCTTCCCCAAAGTTGTTCCAATTAGAAATATTGAAGTTTCCTGATCAAGAATATTATTATTATTATTTTAAAACCAATTCCAGCAAATTCATGTAAATTTTAATCTCTAAGAAACAGAACTTTAGTGAAAAATACATTTTTAAAGAATGTATAATTATTTTTTTAACAAAATTACTTTTTATTAAGCACCGTGTCCATTATTATCTATTGGGTACTATTGGTGAATTCTTTTATGTCTATTCTTCTCACGTTCACTCTTCGACCTCCTCACCTAACAGTCTAGCGTCATCCCCAAAATTATTCCAGAAAATTCCTGTAAATTTTCCAAGATGGCGTCGGATATCGAGCAACATAGCGTCTCCTCAGCCAACAAGGTATCATTCTTCATTATGATTTCACATTTACAGCACCTGTATGTATATAGCTGGACTAGAATTGATATCATAGTAGCAAAGTATGAACTGATTTTATGGTTGAATCGTTATAGGTCGGGCAGTTTTCAGGTGAGAGTGAGACTGGTGGCGTGAAGGAACCACTTTTGGCAAAAGGGAATCACGAATTCGAGAATTTTTCTGTGGTCTCGGCGATTCTTCCGTGAGTATTATTAGTTCCAATTGAGCCTGTACCGTCTTTAGTGTTGAAACATGAGATCCTTGAGGAGACTGCTTCATGATTTCTAGTAGCTTCAGCAAAATTTATACGGAAAGTAATGACTTTAGTTTTAATTGGATGATGGAAATATTGTGACATTTAAATAGTAAAATTGTTATTTTTGGAGGCATAACGAGGTTTTTCTTTTTGATTTGAGAATGGTGGACTATGTTAACCCTCTCCAAGTACGACAACTATGTGTTCAAGCTTATGCAGAACAGAACGAGATAAATGGCTTTATTTGATGATTTCAGGTTTCTGTTCCCTGCTTTTGGAGGGCTGCTATATGGCTATGATATTGGAGCCACATCTTCAGCTACCATTTCTATTCAGGTATAGATTATGATGACAAATACAATTTGTCTTATGTTCAGTGAATTCATCAATTGGAGAAAGTCGGACTATGTTCTATTTCTTCAGCAGCATTATGTTTTCATTTACTATCACCATTAAATCTTGATCATTTTACACTTGCGCTCTCTCTCTTTCTCTCTTTGGGTGGGGGGGGGGGGGGGGTGTTGTGATGATTAGGGAGCTTGGAAATAAAATTTAGTCAAATAAATACCTTAGAATATAAGAGAGTCATTTATTACGGGAAATCAACGCTCTTAATAAAGCCTGATATAGAAAACAATAGCAGATAAGTTAGTCTTGAAATAATAAGGAGCCACAAATGGACGAGTTGGTTTTAGATTTGAAATTCACAACCAGTGACTACGTGAAAGAATTGTTTAATGGACCCTTTTTTTTTTTGGACATTTGTATCCTTTTTAATATTGGATACCTTAATCCCTTTTAATGTAATTACCATGGAAATGGAGGTTAGATTTTTATTAAAAATTGTGACAGGGATTCACAAGTGGGTAACACCAGAATTCCCGCTCTAACATGCATTGGTTAGAAGATGCCTTTTGTTGAACTAAAATTGTTGGATCTTGTCAATTATTCTATTTAACAAATATGAATCACTGCTGGTATGTTAGCCTTGTTTTGTTGCAAGGTAAAAAATTGCTTGCTTTCAGTACGGAGCAGATTTTAACTCCAGCTTTGTTAAAGATTTAAATGCTTCTTAAATTAAAAAAGACAGATTTATTGTAATTTATGTTAGAGTTATTTCTAGATTCCGTAATTCTAATTAGTGAATGTTTCTTCTGGTACAGTCAGCCACACTCAGCGGGATTTCATGGTATAACTTTTCTTCGGTGGAAGTTGGCCTTATTGTAAGCTACCTATCATCTCTATTTTTTCTGGACTGCATCTTTTTTTTTTCCTCTTGCTTTTCTGCCTGAAAGATCACATATGTTTGCTTTGATTTTTTTTAACTCCTGTTTACTGCAGACTAGTGGCTCATTA